AATTTATATAATTTCCAGAATAAATGTAGGCTCCAAATATAGAATATTCAAAATACGCAGCACTGGGGCGTGCTGGGCACCTCAACCAGCACCTTTCACACGGTAAACGCTCAAATTTTTGTTAAATGGATTTGTTTTGTTCAAAGAATATTAGTAAATACGTACATAATAAATTAGATCTTTACCTCCGAGAGATTTGGGAGGGGGTGATTTTGTCATGTGAACTCCCCCAAAAAGGACTGTTTTCAGCCCGAGAAGCCACAAGGGGACGTACATTGATTCTGACATAAAAATGCAGCGAAAGACGCTGGGGTCTGCCTGTTTCTGCAGCTTGGCCCTCTCTGCACGCCACGCTCGTGTTCGCGGAGTTGGTTTTATATCCATTCGGGCAGCACACATTTAAGGAGCCCACGCTTGCACGCTGACAGCATTTCTAAAGAGGGAGCACCGTGGCCACCTGAGGTTGCACTGTCCCCAGAACCCTGGGCAGGAAGTGGTCTGGAGGGCAGGAACCCCTTGTAGGGCTCATCGCAGCTGACCACAGACAAAGCACGATGAGAGGTTTTAGTTGCTCTGGATAACTAAAAAATGCAAATTTTAACAACAGATTGAAAACAACGGGTGTGTCTTCTCAAAACTTTTCTTTCTGGTTTGTTTTTAATGACTACAAACTACGCAGAGCCAAAAATATCCACTCAGACTCGGGTGAGTGTGAACTGGATATGGTACTTGCCCATATTCTCACCAACCCAGAGGCCCCACTTGCCTGTAGGTACCATTTACAGGGGAATCGTTCCACAGAGAACCTCGGGACACCGTGCGTTTGGCTCCTGGTCTGAAGCACGAGGCCAGAAGTCTGGCGCGTTTTGGTTCTTCCAGCATTGGGAGTAAAGAAACACAGGGGTAACGAGTGCGGCAAGGCCACGGTGAGGACAGATCCCAGTGTCAAAGGGGCACCAGGAAACCACCCCTAGGGAGAAACACACAGGCTGCCCAGCTCAGGCAGGAAGACTTCAGTCAGGAATCATTTTCTAGAGAAGAGTACGCTATTTGGGTTTATCCATTTCTGATCAAGTAAAATACGTAAGAAATGCACACCCAGGCTGACTGGACATTTGATGATACTGAGAAATTTATTTCAATTTTTAGCTGTGATAATGGTGCTTGCAGTGATGCTGTGAAGCCCCCACCTTTTCAGACACACAGTGAACCGTTTACAGACGAAACAACACGCCTAGGACTCGCTCTCAGATGCGGGGCAGACCGGCCGTGAGCCGGTAAGCCTGAGGCTGGTGGTGGGGCGTGGAGCTCATCACACGCTTCTCTCTAGCTTCAGGTTTGAAATTTTCCATAATAACAAAGTTTCTTTAAAAAAAAAGAAACGTACATGCCAAAATGTTTACAGATGAAATAAAATTATGCCTGGAATTTGTTTCAAAACAACTTAGAACCGGTTGTGGAGAGGACACAGATGAAGCAGACTATCCATGAAGTTGACAGTCGCTGAAGCTACCTGTCACTATCCCATCTGCCTTTGTTTACGCTGGAAATTTCCATCACGTAAAGTCTTCACAAAAGAAAATGAAGAAAAAACCTGCAGCCTGAATACAGAACTGCAATGAAAAGGCCTGAGCCCAACTGAAGAATGATACTCTGTAGGGGCCACTAAGGGACCAGGCAGCTATGGTGTGAGTGTCCCTCCTCGGGCCCACCCCAGTCTACAGGGGAGGCCCCCGCTTGTCCCCCACCGTCCCACAGACTGACTTCCAGGGAAGGAACAAGAGCTCATGAGGCACCACCATTGTTTCTCCTCCAACGTGCCAACCTGCTGGTGCTGGGAACACTCAATTCGGGTTGCACCCACTGAATGCTTAACCCATTTTCAATGTGCCACACAGCAAGCAGTTTGCGTGGAAAGTCATTCCATACCCTGGAACGTTTCCTTTCCAGATCACACTGAAGAAAGTACACTTGACGACAGCAAACCGGAACCCAATATTCCGTATTATGATCAACCTCCACATCAGAAAGGACTGATGAGCCGTCACACAGCCACATTCCCGACGCTCTGTGCGGCGGCATGGCATCCAGACCACCTGCCACTGGTTAAGCATTTCAACGAAGAGTTAAAAACTAATAAAGTGTCACATACGACATCTTAGTTTCAGCATACAGATTTTATAGTTGCAAGTGAATTGTAACGCACATTCTCTAGAAGACACTAACTGCGAGTGAGGCGTCTAAGGAGGGAGACAGGGGGCCCCCACAGAGGTGCCAGGCATACGCTGCTCCTCCCGCCGGCCCCCTCATCCCCCACGCCGGGCAGCCAAGGCAGCGCAGCTGGGGCACCGCACCTGAGCCCAGCATCCTGCAGGCCGTTTCTCCTCCAGGCTCTCCCCAGCCCCGGAAGCCCCACCCTCTCAGGGAAGCACAGCCCACCCAGGATGCTCCAGTCCCACCTGCTCTGGCATATTCAAAAATGGTTGCATTTTAGCTGAAATTTCTGGCAATAAGTAAAGAAAAGAAGAACTGGAGCAACAGTTTCATTAAAATGACTGTGACCGTGGTTAGAGTATGAGAACTCCTGGTGCCTCCAAATTTCCGCACCTAGTTAGGACTCCGACTCATACAGGCTTGAAGCGGGGACACTGGGGAGGTCACGTCGCTGCTGCCAGAGATCAGAAACATGAAGCGGCAGTTATGCTCCCACACCTGGCTCTCCTTCCTACGGCGCACCCCGGACTGTCCTCAGTGCCTACGTCCTTTCATCAGCTGCTCCCGAGAGCCCAGTAACAATGGTAGGCAGGCCGAGCACCATGTCTTGTCAGCCGTTTTGTAGATTTTAATTTACTTGTGAAAGAGATACAGTAGTCCCCCCTTATCCACAGTTTCAGTTACCCAAGATCAACCTTGGTATGAAAATATTAAGTGGAAAGTTCCAGAAATAAACAATTCATTAAGTTTTATTTTTATTTTCATTTTTTAAAGATAAGGTCTTACTTTGTCACCCAGACTGGAAAACAGTGGTGCGATCATAGCTCACTGCAACCTCAAACTCCTGGCCTCAAGAGAAGAGATCCTCCTGCCTCAGGCTCTCGAATAGCCAGGACTACGGGCATACGCCACCATGCCCAGCCAATTTTTAAAAATTTTTTGTAGAGACAGGGTCTCACTATATTGCCCACCCTGGTCTTAAATTCCTGGCTTCAAGTGATCCTCCCACCTCGGCCTTCCAAAGTGCTGGGATTACAGGCATGAGCCACCGCATCCAGCCCACAAATTTTAAATTGTGTGCCAATCTGAGTAGTTTCATTAAATCTGGCACCATCCGACTCTGTCCCACCTGGGACGCGAATCATCCCTTTGTCCAGCGTATCCACGCTGTAGGCACTATCTACCTGTAGCAGCTGAGACAGAGAGAGAGAGACCACACGAACTTTTATTATAGTATATTGTTATAATTGGTCTATTACTGATTATTGCTGTTAATCTCTTATCATGCCTGATTTATAAATTAAACTTTAACATACGTAGGTATATACGGAAAAACATAGCACATACGGTATAAGGTTCAGTACTATCCTCAGTTAAAGGCATCCACCACTAAGGGTCTTGAAACATGCCCCGTGTGGATAAAGGGGGACAACTCTATCAGCTTCTTCAAACAGACAACTGAATCCCAAGGACAGCATGACTTGGGTTTTCCAAAGCATCTACATCAATGATGTAAATCATATCTACACATTATATTTCTCCCAACTGAACCTACAAATTCTTACTGCTAGTTATGATATAGGTACATATAAAGTTCACAATAAGAAGCCATTTATCACTTAAGCAAATTCAAGCGTTACTACGCCAATATCACATGGAACGTACATTAAAATAGCATCAGTTTTCAAAATAATTATTGATTTGATAATTACGAATTAATGCTACTTGGCTTCGTGAAACCTACTGACCTATTTATTACTATCAGGCAGCAGAATGTACTTATGATATTGTGAAATTTGTATATGCTCTTCTTCCAGCTTCCTGGCATACAACTCCTAAAATCCTTGGAATCTCCAAAGTGATGTCTTTTGGTAAATGAGAAAACAGTGGCTGGCAGCCCCTAGGCAGCTTCAGGATGGGGCTGGCCACAGGAAAGACCAAGGCAGGCTTAGAGGGTTGGGACTTTCAGCCCCACTCCTCAACCTCCAGGGAGGGGCGAGGGGTGGAAGGTTAAGTTGATCACCAACGGCCAATGAAGGGTAATCAATCATGCCTATGTAATAAAATTTCCATAAAACCCCAAAAGCACTGGGTTCAGAGGGCTTCCGGATAGCTGAGCACACGGAGGTTCCTGGAGCGTGGTGCGCCCAGAAAGGACACAGAAGCTCCCGCCCCTTCCCACTCCGCCCTGTCCATCTCTGCATCCACGTCCCCTGTAATATCCTTTGTGATAAACCAGCAAATGTAAGCAAAGCATTTCCCTGCGTCTGTGAGCCACTCTCACAAATTAGTCCAACCCAAGCAGGGGTGAGGGAACCCCAGTTTACAGAAGCACAGGTAAACAACCTGGAGCGCGGTCAGCAAGAGGTGGGGCGGTCTGTGGAACTTAGCCCTCAGGCTGCAGGAGTGGACGCCACCCCTAGGTAGACAGTGTCAGAATTGAACTGGAGGACGCCCGGCCCGTGTCTGCTACAGAACTGACTGCTTGTCTGCTATGTGGGGAACATCCCCCACGTCTGGTGTCAGAAGCCGCTATGAGAGCACAGTGGGAGGAACTGAATTTGTTTCTTCCTCTATCGTCAGTACTATTGCCATAGAGATGGGAATGACAATAGCAAAGCCGTCATCGGGAAGTATTTTCTAGAACCATATCCCATACTTGTCATCCACACTGCTAATAATAATTACACTGCTTTTAATGGGAAAAATGTTAATGCCAACTGCGTTTATCCTCAGCACACAGAGCCCATCACCAGAGGAGACCTGAACACCACAATGGTTCTTACGTTGCCGTCCACTCCCGAAGGACCGTTAAACACGTACTCCAGCTGAAAGACGATTGCGAACGCCGGGTGACTGACCATCTCGGGGAGTCGGAGGCGGCTTCTCAACACTAGAGCTTGGTTTCCAGAGCTGCAGCAGAAACACAAACCAGAGCCACATTAAGGTGCTGGCTCCCACCATGCCCTACACCCACCTCCAACACCATCAGTGACAGCAAAAGGGGGCAGTCCAGGGACCCAGGACACTGGGCACAGCTGACGCAGTGAGTCCACCTGTGCGATGCTGCAAGCTCTGCCATGTGACTTGGCCCCCAAGGTAATGCCCCAAACCAGTGCTTTTTTTCAAGTGTCACAATCAACACCTCTTCCAAATTGCCAGCACTTGCCTGCAGGCAGATGGAATTATAAGGCCAAATCACCAGGAAGTACCACGGAGAAGATGAGGCTCCTTCTCCAGGGCTGGCCTGCTGCAGAGGACAGCTGGCCCCTGCCCAGCCTCACGAGAGAAAGGAGGGGTGGGACACCCTGCAGAGATGTCCATGGTATCTGATTTGGGAAGCGCTGATTGCACAGAATGGCAGGACCGGCTGCACTCCGCTTCTCGGTCACACGGGAAACTAATCCCAAGGCACGTCTACAGGACAGAACGCAAGGGTCTGCACAGACCCTCAGCAGCCACAGGTGGAAATGCCCATAATGCTAACTCCCAAACTGTCACAGCATGGCCAGGCACACTGGCTTACGTCTGTAATCCTAGCACCTTGGGAGGCCGAGGCAGGAGGATAGCTTGAGGCCAGGAGTTCGAGACCAGCCTGGGCAACACAGGGAGACCCCATCTCTACAAAAAATGAGAAAAATTAGCCGAGTGGGGTGGCGCGTGCCTGTAGTCCCAGCTACTTGGGAGGCTGAGGCAGGAGGAGCTTGAGGCTGCCGTGAGCTGTGATCACGCCACTGCACTCCAGCCTGGGCGACAGAACAAGACATTCTCTCAAAAAAAAAAAAAAAAATTGTCATAGCACAAAAATAGGCTTTTTCCAAACTTACAACTCTGAGGCTTGTTCCTAATGGGGACAACATAGCAAGAGGAAAGAAAGATGACAAGGAAGTACCTCCACGTAGTTGAGTCCACACCTGATGTGCACAAACAACCTCATTTCATTGTGATCCCTCATACGTCCCCACCCAGCCCTCAGGACCCCGGGGAAAATACCTGGTCTTTGAAGAGGAGATCACTTTCCTGCTGAAGCTGGCTGAGCGTGTCAAGGCCACGTCCATCTCGGGCACCAGCACGACCACCTGCGGCCTCTGCACGAAGCCCAGACCGTTGTGCACACCCACGTGCAGGCGCCGCTCCAGGATCTCCAGGGCACTGCTATCCCGCGCGCCCTGGAAGCAGCACAGGCAGACAGAATGAGCCGAGCGCGGGAGGAAGAGTCCCCAGGGTAAGCAAGCGGAGAGAAGAAACCGTGACCAAAGCTGCAGCATTTCCAGATCAGGTGATGCTTAGTGAGGATGAGTCCAAGCCCATGTAAGACACACGACCCAATCCCAACCGCTGGCCTCGGGGCAGCTCCTGGTGCTGGCAGTTCCGACAGGGCACGGGGGCCTCCACTGCCAGGCTCACCCTCTCGCTGCACTGGCTGAGCTGACAGTGCCCGAGATGCAGCAAGCTCATAATCGCACGCTCAGCTCCTTCAGCAAGGCTCGGGCCCCAGGTCCGGGAGCCCACTTCCCAGGCCAGGAGAGCCAGGGATGGAGGGGCGGCCGGAGGCAGAGCACGTCCAGCTCCAACTCCGTCCCTCCAGAGACCTGCGGCTCGAGCCGGAGGGAGGAACGCTCCTAGGCAGTTAAGTCATAAGCCAGTAAAAATGGAATGGGCCCCAAAGTGATCACTGGATAGCAAAGTGATTCATCTTAATAAAAAACATACAGGCGCTTTAACCAACAAACAAGGGTATTCCTCCTGGCTATTAGTGTTTATTAAATTATGTGATCTTTGCAAAATGATCCCTGAATTTTCGAGTCTTCACTGTCCATTGATAAAGCTGAACAGACTTACATTCAACCTATTAGTCTTTGGATAATGAAAATAAAATTATAGAGATAACTGAGTATCTGCCAGCCAGACAAGAACTAAAATACAAAGATAGTAAAAATACATTAACAAGTGACTTTATGAGAATACATAAAATTCAGCAATGATACTCTTAAAACATCTGTATCTTCACATAATCCTCTCTGGAAGATAAGAAAACAGCAGGAACTACACCAAGAAAGTGGATGCTGCTATTTCAATCTTATGCTATGCTTTGTGTTTATAAATATTTCATATAAGACCAAATTATATGGAATTACATTGTCAAGAATGGGTAGAGAGTAAGAAAATCCAGCTCATTCCTATATATATGTAACTAATAACTCGGTAATTTCAGAGACTACTAGACTGGGGACCAAACAATGGAATTGTTCATTCCCACAACTAAATAGTACTGCGCTACCATATGCCAAGCCCCGTTCTGCACATCGTGTGCAGGGGCGAACAAAATAAAGCCCCTGTCTTCGAGAGAAGAAGGCTAGGCGCTCCCAGAGAGGGCCGAGCACCCAGGAGGAACGAGCAGGGCGACGGGCTGGAGAGCGGTGGTGAGGGACACCGCCCCCCACGGTGGTCAGGGAGCCCTGTCCAGACCTGAAGCCTGACAGCGAGCGCACGAAGATGTGCAGGAAGAACGTCTAGGAAGTGAGCTGTGTGTCACGGGCCTGCCGTGAGAACAGACGGAGTCCAAGCTGCAAGGCAGGCCCAGGGCGCTGCACGGCGTGAGGCAAGGAAACCTGCAAAAACCAAACTACGCACATCTTGACGCCAAGGTCGAGGAGCCTAGGCGGCAGTCCAAGAGCAAGAAAATGCCAGCAGAAGATTTTAAACAGAAGAAAAATGGCGGTATCATTATTTCTAAAAGACCTCTTTGACTGCGGAGTGAAAAAACAACGTTCTCCGGGACTTACGAGTGAACGTGGCAGGCTGACACTGCATCAGAGAATTTCCTTCTCCCAGTACCTAGACAAAAATAACACAAGCAGCAAAAATCGTCCACACAGCCACTCGTCAAGGAAGGAAGCATAACATGATGCAGCAGCCTTCACACCTGGACGCCCGGACAAGACACAAAGCCTGGCTGCTCCAGCAGAGGCGGGCAGGCTCCACGCCCAACGCCGCCTGCGCCCCCAGGAGCTACTGCTGAGTTGGCAAAATCCTGGGAATTCCACCAAGCCCTCATGGACGGGTGACTCGTTCGTGGCTCCAGGTAATACCTCTCCGGAGCCACACGCTTTACCCTGTAACCTGGAGCCCCTACGTGTCTGACTCTGGACTTGGCCACTGATGTGGTTTGGCAATGGGACAGTAGCAACTGTAATGCAAACAGAGGCTTGAAGGTGTCTGCACACTTCTGATTCCTGTCGTAATCCTCCACCTCCGGGAGAACAAGCCCAGGCTGGCCGTGGGAGGATGAGAGACCACCTGCAGCTGAGCCGTCCTAGGCAGGCCAGCCCCCAGCTGACCAGCCAGCTAACTGCACACATATGAGGATTTTTCAAGAAAGTCCCCTGTGCTTCCTGCTTGAGAGTCTACTAAGTAAGAGCCAGAATACACATGTGAGAATATTCACAGCAGGGCCCTACTAGCCCCACGTTGAAAACAGCCCAGATGTCCATCGACAGTAGAATGGAGAAAGAAGTCACGGCGCACTCACACGGCAGAATACCACACAGCAAAGAAAGCGAGCAAATAGAGCTACGCGAACTGCAAGAACAAATCTTCCAGGAACACGACACTGAGCAAAAGAAACAAAACAAAACATGAATGAAAGGCCGGGCGCGATGGCTCATGCCTGTAAACCCAGCACTCTGGGAGGCCGAGGGGGCAGGATCGCTTGAGCTCAGGAGTTCAAGACCAGCCTGAGCAAGACCGAGACCCTCATCTCTACTAAAAACAGAAAAAATCAGCCAGGAGTAGTGGCACGCACCTGTAGTCCCAGCTACTCGGGAGGCTGAGGCAGGAGGATCACTTGAGCCCGGGAGTTTGAGGTTGCTGTGAGCTAGGCTGACACTGCGGCACTCTAGCGCGGGCAACAGAGCAAGACTCTGTCTCAGAAAACAAACCCAACAAAAAAAAAATCCATAAATGAAAAAGTAAGATTTCATTTAAGTAAAGGTCAAGAGCAGGCAAGCCCATATTATTTAGAGACGCATCTACATGTGGTAAAACCAGAACAAAAAGCAAAGATGAGATTAGCATAAAAGCCTGAGGGGACGGGCAGGGAGGAAGGTATAACCAGAGCAGCCCTGGGAGGCTCTGCCGGTGCCGGTTACAAGGTGCCATGCCACGTGGCCACACTGTCCGTGCTCCCTGCAGGTGTGACTCACAATGAAGAGCGGGACGTAAAGAGGACACTAAGCAATAGCAAGATGGCACCACACCAGTTTCTCAGTCCTCTGCTGGTAAATTTCTTTCTTTTTGTTTCTAAAGTCAAAAGTAAAGTCCCTCTCTTGCCCTAAAAGTGGGGATGAGGAGCAGTTTGTCCACAGGCATGTGGTGGCCCCTTCTTTTAGAGCTGGGAGAGCCACCAGGGCTGCCCCTTCCTCTCCCCACGAGAGGCGGCACCTTCTCATGGCCATGAGCAGAGGAGCAGGTGAGGGGCGGAGTGCACAGGGCCTGGCCAGTGGAGGCGTCTACAGACATCCCATTCAGCATCCCCTCTGCAGGGAACGGAAGAGCCAGGGCCACACAGACTGTGCTCTAACAGCATTGGTGACAGTTCATCGAGCCCAGTTTTTCCAGACGAAGGAAAGATTATTGCCTGAAAAAAACAAGAAGCCCCCCAAACCTGCAAAGGTTTTTCCAAGGAACTTCTGGCATATAAACAAGCTTCTACACAAAAAAACGAAAAGAATCCTCATTATTAGAGGTGACAAGAACTCTAGAGATAATCTCCTTGGACTTGGTGTTTTACAGCTTGCAACCCCATCATCGATGGGATGGGACGAGAGAGGGAACCTCAGTTCACCCTGTGTGCGAGGCAAGGCTGAGCGCCATGCGCGTGCAGTTTGGACTGGCCCTACTGGGGGCTGCGGGCAAACAGGCTGTGGGCAAAGATCCCAGACGCCCTGCCAGGGCACTTCGACAAATCCACATATCAAAAAGCAGCAGAGAGGAACAGCAACGCGCTGCCCACATGGGCCCTCCGGGACAAACGTACCGGGATGTGTTCACACAGTGGGGAACCAGGGAGCACCTCCCCAGAGACCGCCGTGATGGGTGAAATGACCAAGCCTTCTAGTCACCACCTCGAAATGAGCCAAATATCCTCTAAATGTCCTTTGCAGATGTAACTTATGGGTTTCCCTACACTCATCTGGTGACTTAATTTACTTTTAAATGAGGATTGTTTCATGATCTACAAAATTAATATTAATTAATATCTCAGGCTAACAGCACCTTCATCACCACCCAAGTTAAAACAACAGCCGGAGGTTCTGCAGGGGGCTTGGCTGTCAGGGGAAACGGGTCCTCTAAGACCTACTGTAAGTTATCAATTCGGGGACGGAGAGAGTGCCCCTCTTTGGCCAAAAAACAGGGGAAATGACAGGACCACATCACCAGTGGCCCCACAGCCCACCCCCAGCAGCGTAAGGTGCCAGCGTCCTGCCCCTCCCTGCCCAGCCCTGCCGCACACATCTCCACTCTTCAGGCTAAGTCGCCGTGACATGAGACGGTACCTCCTGGAAGTGGTCGCTGATAAGGAGTTCCAGAAGCTCTTCCTCGAATTTCTCAAGGGAGGGGTACAGGGTGAAGAATAAATTGTCCAAGTACCACGTGACGGGCTTCTGAAGGCGAGGCTTCCGGAGGGCGTCTCCTGAAACAAGGAGAGGGCTGTGTAAGATTCTCCTTGGAAATAAAACTGCCAGAAGCAACCGAGGGCCCTCAGCCCTCCAGGCCACGGGTGATGATGCCCTAGGCACGAAAGAGAGCTGCCGCTCAGATGGAACCCCGCCCAAATGAACCTCTATGTTGATCAAGCAAATCGAATTTCATCTGCAGTGCAAATTCCACCCCAAACCTCCTCCAAGAACAAATTGTATAATTTGGCAATTCCAAGAACACGGATTACAGGATGCAAAGTGTTAATAATATCTGCCCCCTTGGGGTTGGCTCCCCTTTAGCGCTGACTTCCTCTTTAGCAAGAACACGGCCAACCGTGTCGTTCCTTACTTTACTGCATCTACCTTGAACCACCTGGAACACACAGGAATACTCATGAGCACATTAAGGCAACCAACAAAAACACAGCCTGGGCTGGCTCCACAAGAACAAAATCCTGGTCCTGATCCAGAAGCACCTCCTGGCCTGTGAGCTCCTCGAGGACAGAGGAAGCTCCCAGGCTCCCAGGACCTAGCTCCATGTCCAGTGCACAGCGGGCACATGACAACCCAGCTGGAGAGGGGAGGATCCAGGCTGCTGGGGATGTCCCTCTCCACACGCTCTGCAGCAAAGATTAACCCAGAATGACAGCGAGGGTGGGAAGGGAGGGAGGGCAGGTGAACAGGTGCAAGCATATCTAAAGCCAAGATGAAGAGGCTGGCGCCACCAGAGGGTCTGCAGGCAGAGGAGATGTGTTAAGGGCGGCGTTTGAGGAGGGTTGTTCCCACCAGGAGGAGGGTGTGCAGGATGGCCACGTGGCTGGGACGCTGCAGCATCAGCAGGCGTGGCGGGGGCAAGGCATGCCTTAGAAACAGCCGTCCCAAGCAACTTGCCTGACCAAGAATATCCTCCTGGTCTCTCTCCACCCAACACCCCACTTTCCCAAGACCACCGCACAGTCGGCTAGCACAAAGTCAGCAGGAAACGGATATCGGAAACAGGCTGGTGTGGAGGGAGCCGGTACAGCAGGCAGGGCCCAGCCAGGCCCAGAGCCTGGCATCAGGGACACTCAAGATGTATGCAGGGAGGGAGGGTGGGGGCCAGTCCTCGGGAGCAGAGGGCAATGAGACTGGATAAGCAATTCTTTATAGCCGTGAGCACCCAGGAAGACACCTGTGATCAGCCGCTGGGAGCCCATTGGTGCTGCCAAGTAGGCACGCACCAAATTCAGCTCCACCCCACCGAGGGCCGCCCGGCCACTCAGCCACCAGGCACGGTGCACCGCACGCCACCTCACCAGCCCTCCAGCCAGTCTTCCTGCAGCAGCTGCCAGGCCTCCCGCCTCTGCACCAGGACACACCCACGGCGGCGCCCAGGAGGCACCACCGTCGTCCCCCAACAGCGCACAGCAGCCGGGAGTCATCCTGAGGTGGGACGGCCATCCGAACCACCTGGACAACACTAACCTGCACACACGGACGCGAGAGCCTTCCTCTGGGTCTCCTCACGGCCTTGACTGCTTCCCAGAACCTACCAGCTCACTCTCTACTCCCGATGGGCAGGAGTTGGGCAAGCACCCTGTCTGTTTCAGACGGCCCCTGAGAGGAGTGTCCCGAGCCGGGACCCTCGACCTTTCCTCCAGGGCCTCAGAGCGCTGAGGACGGGGCCAGGACTCCAAGCACCCCACGGGAGAGCCTTACTCGGGCAATCAGTTCAGTCCTGGCACTGCCTGTGGCCTTGGGTTCCAGTTCTAGACAATGGGCTTGGGCCTTATTTTTATGAGCAAACTTCCTGACACAAATAAGTACAAGTCAAACTGGGGACATCTGAGTAAGACTGACGGGTTGTGTGGATGTCAGTATCTCGGTTATGACACCGTGGGGGGTAACTGGGCAAAGGGACCCGGGGCCTCTCTGTATTATTTATTACGACTGCGTGTGAATCACAATTACCTCAGTGAAAATTACAATTCAAAACAATTTAATCTTCCTATAGTGTGGCTTTTAACAAATGACCCACTATCCCACTCCCAAGATGGCATCAAAACAAAATCAAACCCTCTGAAATGAGACAAATGAATGCCACCACCCAAGCGAGTACTGGCCTTCAGGGCTACGAAATACTACCAAGCAAAGAAGCCCTTTTCAAAAGTGAGTCACAAAAGCCCAGACGTTCCCGGGCAGAGTTTACAGCAGAGATAAGGACAACTGTCGGAAAGCAGACTCAGGCTTGGAGTCACCCCACACGCAAGTGAGAGGCGGAGCAAAACTCGTTCCTTGTCTGAAACGGCCCCCGGGGGAGGCGCTGAGAAGCCGAGTCTTCCTGTCCCTTCCCTCAGACTGGCTGTGCGTGGAGCCAGCACTCTCTCCCGACCCCGGGCGCGCTCACGCCCCCTGCAGACCCCTGCTCGCTGGACCTCACACGGCAGCGGCAAACACCGCCATTCCCTTTGCAGGTTTACGGGCACTGCTTGCGCGCGTTCAGCGCCCCAGTGACTGACGGGCCGCCACACAAGAAGGGCGGACGTGAGAACAGGACTCAGGCCTCTTCTCCGAGAGTGACCCTGAAGGATGAGGCGCTGGGATCGCACATCCCGGGCTCACACTTCTTTAACTCAAACTCCACTGTCCGTAAGAGGCCCCCCGGACTGCCCAGCTGGCTGTAAGACACTAAGCATTAAACCCAGGGGCCTGTCTTCTTAGGGCGCCTACCTTCTCTTTCGCCAGCTCAGTAACGAACAGCCAGTCCTTGGTGACCCGCGGAACTGTTCTGTCACAGTTCTACCGACACCCACTGGTAACTCACAAGGTAGCAGATACACTTCAGGCCCCGAGACACCCAGGACAGAAGACTGGCACAACACACTTGGAAGCAGACACGCAGCACCACGCTCAGTATCAGGACAGACACAGAAACGTGCACTGTGTGCAATTTGCACACAGTGACCCCGTGTCACTGTGGCATTTACAGGGCCCTCTCTGGCAATGCGCGGGGGCCAGGCAGATGGGCCACAGCCCAGGGCTCAGAGCCAGGCACGGGTTTTCACATTCTTAACTCAACAGTGGTGACAATGATGCACCGTCTCCTCTCCCTCTCAGGAGCTCACAGGCAGATTTCAGAGGCAATGAAACCCCCTAAAGGGGGCCGTGGAGGGCGTTTATACCACAGTGACCCAGGACAGACAACCCCAGGCTCACTTCCATCCATGGTTAATTCAGCATTTCTCATCTCTTCTCTGGAATGCTGGAAAAACAGGGACTTCACCGCAGACCCGTGCAAGAAATGAACCTACCCAGACAGTAACACCTGCACCCCAGTACAGACAAGGACACCTAGAGCAGGCTTACCACGCACGGGGACACCACTGACAACAAACACTGTGCTGGGGCAGAGACCTTCCTTCCGTCCTGATGTTTCCAGGAGCCATTGCTCTCGATCTCAGCCCCTCGCACACAACGCCACATCCTCCTTTTCCTGGAACTGAGCAAGGAGTCGGCTACCCAAGATGGCAGGTTCTAGTACTGCCACGGAATCTCTAGCACATGGCAAGTAGGGAAAGGCTGGTGTGGTCCCCCCTTCAGGGTTCCTCAAGACAGCCAAAGGCCTCCAGAAGTGCCCAGGAACACGAGGCCCAGGTCATGAGGACTGTCCAGCAGATTCCTACAGCAGAGCACATCCCCTGCATTGCCAGAGCACACCCCCCACCGGCAACGCCAGAGCACTCCCCCCGGCAGCGCCAGAGTACACTGCAGCCTGTAGTCCCAGCTACGTGGGAGGCTGAGGCAGGAGGATAACTTTAGCCCAGGAGTCTGAGGTTGCCGTGAGCTAGGCTGCCGCCATAGCACTCTAGCTTGGATGACAGAGCAAGACTCTGTTTCAAAAAATAATAATAACAATAATCAAGTCATTGATACTGTGGTACAGTGTGGGTAAGATCCAGCACAGTGGTTTTCCTGGCTGTGGTCATGAAGTCACGAGCTATGTGTTTTATGACAGCATTTTCCCGAAAAAAGAAGACAAATGACCTGAGGGGTATGAGACATTCCTCGGGAAGGGATTACACTGGATGGCCACTGCCACCCTCCCTGCCCCCACAGGTGCCCCCCCAGGCCATACTGCTAGCTCAGGAGGGGCACTTGGCCACATCTGGCCCACACTCACCCTGGAGGAGCCCAGTTCCTTCGAGGTTTGACCGTGAACTACCACAGACTCACGAAGTGAACAGAATCAAAGAAGCCCTTACCCGTCTCTCCGTGAACTGGAAGGAGGCCAGGGATCTGCTGCAGACCAGACACTAGAAGGTTCTCGGGAAGAAGGTGGAATGCGGACTCCAGGGGCGGGTGTGGCTTCAGGGTGTACTGCAGGCTGCAGTTCTCAATGAGGGTCATGTGTTTGTTTTCTAGGGGAGAAAACACCAATGTGATCACTGAAACCAAAGGCACTTCCAGTCAAACCAGCCGAGAAACAGAGACTCTTAGAAACACCATGAACAGAAAAGGTATTTTTCTAGGGAGAGAGGAGAATTGCTCTGTTAGTTCAGCCTAAAAGTAAAAATCATCAATCCTTAATAACTCTCTGGTAAAACTGCAATGAAACAGATATTTGTTTTTGATCCAATCTAACAAAATCTCTCCTGCTCATCCCTTCCCCCGCCAGGTGAGGGCACAGGACAGACACCGGGCCGTGCAGTCTCCCCAGGCATCACCGGTCCCTGCCACCAGAGGAGGCTGGAAGACACTCTGGATCCCAGGCCTGCCTTCCTTCGAGTGTCAGCACACGCATCCATCAGGCCCCAGCAAAGAGCAGGACAGCATTGGAGGGAGGCCGGCAGCATCAGAGACACAGCCCTGTCCTCAAGGAGGGGCCGTTCTCCTGGGGTGACGGCTAAGACACAAACACAACACCCACGATGCACAGGAGAGTTACAGGCAAACCACAAGTAAGGTTTGGGTGATGCACTAGGGAAGGAGGAAGCAAATGCCCTCAGCCCAGGGCTCGAGGGAAGCCTCTTGGAGAAAACAGCTGGGAGAAGCTCAGGTGACAACACGGGGGAGGGAGCAGGTACTCACAGTGGCAGGACAGCAGCCACAGAAAGGGGGTGCAGGAGGAGGCATACCCCACAGTCACAGGGCCTGGAGTTGAGAGGGACCATAGATACACCCCCTTCACATTCCTACCAAATAATCAGTCTTGCTTGGGCTTGATTACCTCCACTGACAGGGACCTCAACACCTTCCGAGGCAAACCATGCCATCTTAGGCCAGCTCTGGCTGGTTGTGGCCATACTGTGGAAGGCCACTGAGAGTTACAAATTCATCTCTTTCATTTTCTGATTTTTATAAAGAGTGATCTAAATATGAACTATTGTATTCATTAGAAAAAGAAATTAATGAAAACTATATTTTTAACACCTAACCACTCCAAACATGGAATCTGCTTACTTTAACATTTAAAATATTGCTGAAAAGCATTTTCCAGGTAAAACTCCATGGCTGGTCAGAAAGAAAATTGGCACGGCCTCTATGGAGGGCACACAGAAATACTGAGCAAAATATTGAGCAAAACACAATGCTCAGACCCTCAGACCCAGCCATTCCACTGCAGAAATTTATCCTGCAGATTCACTTGCACACTTGCAAAAGGGCAGACGTCCACGGCAACATGGCTTCCAGCCTTTCCTTCCTACAGACCCGCCCAGCATCCCCCTGCAGGAGACTGAGTCAATCAATCAAGGAACGTCAACTCCACAAAATACTGCACAGCCTCAAAAGCAATGAGTAGCTTTCTGTGTACTGACATGACACATTCTCTAAGATAAATCGTTACGGGGAAAAAGCAAGGTGTGAAACGTCGAGTAGAAAGAGGGCAAAAACAAGAGGCAGTACTAGACACGTGCACTTGCTTCTGTGGCCATAAAAAAACCCTGGAAGCGTCCACGGGAACTCAGAGAGAGTCCCACCTGGCGGCAGATGAGGGTGTGGGGGAAAGACCTCACTCTGAACTTTTATACTTCCTGCCTTCTGAGTTCTGACTCATGCGAACCTATCGCATTACCAGCAAGTTTTTGGAAATGCCACCCGAAAGGAGGAGCGAACGGCCCGCGGCTGGCTCCTCCCCACGCCCTCCACCCGCGAGTTCGCAGCTTCCACGGAAACACTCGCACCCGCCCTAGGACTGCGGACGCAGGATAAACACGGTGGCCATGTACGCCGTTTGAGAGGTAGGGAGACTTCAGAAGAGAAAATCCTGGCAAATGAATAATTAAATTCAATTGAAAAACAACCTAAATGCCAGTCTTTATAAAGAAAATTAACTTTCTGACTAATTGCTGCCCTATCATGAGATTTTCGCCGAGCTCAGTAGGCAGTTGGCCTTTAGCACAGGCCACGCAGCACACACAGAGTCCCCTTCAAGGGATCTGGGTAACAGCGCACCTCGAAGACACAGAAAGCCACCCTCCCTGACGGATCCACCTCCAACCACCACACCCGGTCCACGCTGCCCCCGGGGCAAGCACAGCCTCTGCTCCGGGCCTCTCCGATGTCCTTCCAGCCCACAGCCCCGCCTCACCCTTCCTCTGGGTGCCCCTCCTGGCACCCTCCAGGTGGGAGCAGCAGAGTGGGCCCCCCACTCTATCCCTCCTGACCGTGCACCCTCTGGCTGCCTGGGAGGAGCTGGTCTCAGAGGCACAGAAGGACGGCTCCCCTCCCCGCCCTACTCTCCAGCAGGTCTCGTGGAAGGTGGAAGGCCTCGCTGTGCTGGAAACGACCAAGGGACCAGAGGCTTTGCTGGACAGTGGTGGCCAGGTGGACAGCTACTGCTTCATCTGCCGGGCAGAGCTGTTCTCCAAGAGGTAGGGAGGACAATTCCCTGCCCCCAGGAGGCTACCACAGACCCTCCCACACTCATCCTCACAGAGCAGTGCCCTCCTTTTGGGCTGGTACGTTTCAGTTCTTTAAATTACGCCACAAATCCAAGGCCATGATAGGTTTGCCCAAACCTATTAAATAAATTAGCGAAGCTGACGGTGCTTCACACTGGCAAAGACCACAGGACACAGCTAAAGGTGGAACACTCAGGGGAGTGGTGAGGTCAGCAAGGGCTGCCGAGGCCGGCTCTTACGCTCCACGGGGTCCTGGAGAAACGGGTGCAGGAGGGCTCTGGGGGTGCCGTGGTACAGCCGCAACCTGGAAGACAGGACCCAGGACACACGTCAGCCTTCTGCACAGAAGGAAAGCACGTGGAAGCCCCACCCACCACACACCTGCTACAGACTTCTAAACACCCTCCATCACGTCCTCCGGAGAAAACAGGCAGCTTAGGAGAGCATCGGCCTCCCGGCACTCGGCGCCCTCGCCCAAGCATGTCCGACATGCGTACAGCCCCGTCCCAAGGGAACCCAAGAACTGAGGAGCTCGAAACCAATGCCAAGGGAAATTTATAAAACTCTAAAATGTCCCAAGAAAGACAATGTTTGAAGAATTTGCATGGTTGTGTATCTAGAGCCGTGGTTCTCAATCAGGGATGATTTGGGCAATGTCTAGAGATGGTTTTGGTTGTCACAACCCAGCAGTGGGTGCTTCTGCCATCTACTGGGTAGAGGCCAGGGATGCTGCCTAATATCCTACAACACCTAGGACAGCCCCCGCACAGCAAGAGCTGGCCAGCCCAAAATGTCAGGTGCCAAGGTTGAGAAACCCTGATCTGCAGTAATGATGCGAACTTTAACTGTGGCTGGAAGGATTATACACCATCTCGCCTGGCACACAGTAGGTGCTCACAGCATCTGCTGAATGCATACCTACTGCCTACTGGGCATCTATTAATATTTGTGAAAAACATATTACTTAATACTCAAGCAACCCCTATGAGACAGGTATTATTATTATCCCTCAAGTGCAGACGAATGAATTCAGGGTCAAAGAGTTTAAGTAACCTGCCTGGAGCCCCACAGGGAGTAAGAGCAGGACCAGAGCCGTGTCCACCCTACACCAAATCCCAGGCTCATGGCCAAAGCCAGGCCTCCAGCCTAGAGCAATTCCTCAGCTCACTTGGAAGTGGCAAAACCCCCCAAGCGAAAAATACCCCACAGCGTGCTGTTATGAAGACACAACAACTTAAGGCCTTCTGTTGCTGCCAAGAGCTGAGCGGCTACATCACCACAGAAAGATGCCAGGAAACTCCAGATACAGAAAACAAGGTGGATACCGTCTGTCCTGGGACGCAGAGGAAGGAGATCCCGAATTGCTGTTGAAGATCCGAAGAATTCCAAAACCACATGACAACGTCTGGAGGGTCCCGTCGCGTTTCTTGCCTTCAGCAACCACTTCTACCACAGCCACGATATGAGGGTGGTTTAAGGACGTGTGAAAATACAAGGGCTGCAAAACAGAAATGAGAGGATAGCTACGACAGAAGCCGGATGGTGGGCGGAATGTTCCGGCCTGCAGAAAGGACACCCAAGACATGGAGCCCTCTCCCTCCCCACAGGCCATCTTCACACACACGCCACGAGCATGCGTGCTCTCCGCCACGTGCCCGCGTGCGGAACACCACGTCCCTTCCAGGTGCAAGGGGAACGAGCACACGAAAATAACTCCCTCAGAGCTGAAAGTTGGTGTCGGAGCTTCTCATTCCAGAGCACCCAAGATCTAGGACATCAGACAATTTGCTTCTGTCCCAGGAACTTTTATCCCCTGGAAATTCCACCACAAAAAAAAAAAAAAAACACCAACAGACCACAGGTCCTCTGGAGCAGAAAGGGGCTGGAGCGGCCATGCATCCCACCTCCAGGGGTGGGTGACATCAGGCAGGAACATGGTTACATCAGCCCACGACATGACACGTCCACCACAACACACACAAGCCATGCTCCACACGTCACCTGACACTCAACACAGACAACTTCAGTCACAACTTGCCAGTGCTGCCCCCAACCCTGCTTTATGTGTACCTATACCAAGTCCCGTCTGACCTCGCTGGACTTAAACTAAGAAGGGGCCAGGCGCAGTGGCTCACACCTGTAACCCTAGCACTCTGGGAGGCCGAGGCAGGAGGATCACTCGGGGTCAGGAGTCCGAGACCAGCCTGAGCAAGAGCGAGACCCCCATCTCTACTAAAAATGGAAAAAAAAATTAACCAGTCAACTAAAAATAGAAACAAAAAATTAGCCAGGCATGGTGGCTCGTGCCTGTAGTCCCAGCTACTCGGGAGGCTGAGGCAGGAGGATCACTTGAGCCCAGGAGTTTGAGGTTGCTGTGAGCTAGGCTGACGCCACAGCACTCACTCTAGCCCGGGCAACAAAGCAAGACTCTGTCTCAAAAAAATAAAAAATAAATAAAAGTAAATAAACTAAGACAGATCCTTAGATTTCTTTGGATGCTAAGTAATTACTCCAGTTAAGAGCCCAACTAATAGCTTTTTATGCCAAAAATCACCTTGAGATCATTTTATTAACAGATTTCTTGGGATCTAAGCCAAAAGATGATATTCACATTGATCTTAAAAGGTTTTCCATTTGCATCATTTCCAATCCCCAACATGCAAATGGTGGACCTCTGACCCTGCCTTCCTGCCAGTGCCCAGGGGGAGTGAAACCCCCCTCCACAGGTAACGTGCATGCTCACCGGAAAGCACCTTCACTCTACTACTGAGCTTCTAGTTCACTAAATTCAATGCACTTGTTTTTATTTAAAACTACTAAGTGTAGGAGACACAGAAGAAGGGAAAGGAGCCGCTGACAGGGTCTGCTAACCAACAGGGAATATGCGCCCACAAGCACTCAAAAGGGGCTGAGCTGTGGCACTAGGCTCAGAGTGTCCCAACGGCCCAACATCCAAGCTGGGGGGCAAAGCATGGGGATGGAGTCACCAGCCGAGCACAGGGACCCCCGCCACGGCCCAAGCAAAGAAGGGTAAGACGGGGCTGAGGTTGGTCTTCCAAAACGTGATTTAAACTTGGAATAATCCTCCTATTAACGAGTCATTACCATGGTGTCACTGAGAAAACGTTTACTGTAATCACAGGCTGTCAGCCCAGGATAACAGAGAGACACATTAAAACATGAGCCATGAGATATAAATCGTTATTCTATTATCTTTTATTGCAAAATGATGAAATAATGACCACTTACAGCTGACAGGTGGTTGGACTAAGAGAGAATTATGTTTCTGTTTCCAACACTCCAGAACTGTTTTTAAAAAGCCCCAGTGTAAAGTCAAGTTGGTCATTATCTCACCTTTTATATTTATACCTGTGCATATCAGTTTTATGAACACTACCCACTTTTTCTTTTGGCAATAAAACAAACATTTTAAACTCTAAAATGAAGCAACAATAATCCCCCGGCTAAAAAGTCACCTTGAGATTACTCTACCTGAAGGTAGTGGAACCAGTAGCTTTGGGCATGTCCCAAGTATAAATTTTTGGTATGCTGCTTCCTTTTATGTACTGCCGAAAACAATCATTTTGACACCAAAACACCACCAGTGACAATAACAACAGAGCCCCACAGCTGTTTGTCTCAGCTGGTCCAACCTTAGACTCCAAAGAATCCTTCTTCAATCAGAGGAGGCAGCCACTGGAAGCACAGCATATTTTAGAAGTTCAGATGGTTGCGTCAGTATTATGACGGACTGACAACCATGCATGCTCTTTTCCAAACAGCATCCACTGACGCCCCAGTGTGGGAACGGCGCCATGCTAAAGAACCCATAAGGAGCTTGGAAAACACAATCCTGCCTTCGAGAAGTTCAAGGCTTGAAGGCTTTACAAAGGATAGATTAGGCAGGTACAAAAATGCAAACGCTGCTCAGCGACCAGCAGTTTTGAGACCCTGTGGAAGGAAAAAGCCTCCCGGGGATGAAAACACAAATAGAACCACAGAGCTGTAACCCCCTGGCTCTCCTCACAAATCATGCTCGGCCTCATCACCTGCACCTGGCCGCCCGCTCCCCACCGTACTGGCCTGAAAATGGGCTCAGCCGGAATTCCGATTCCAGACAGCACTCAACGTATAACACCCGTAAACAAGCCCCTCGGTCTAGGGAAATTTAATTAATGCCAAGGCCACACATTTCGAGAAGAACATTTTCTGCATCAACTGAAACTGCATGATTAAAAGGTTAAGTTAAGCCCATCAAATCGCCTGCCGGGGAAGAGAGGAGAGGCGCCCTCTGTCACCTCTACGCAACATCTCACTCATCTGCACTGGACAAGCTTCCTCCCTGACAGGGTAAACAGATTAATAAATCATTTAAATGCTCCTGTCTAAACGCCTTCATCTTCAAAAACATGGACACCATTTTGCCTCGGGGCCAAGTTTCCATTTTTCACCCACAGTGACAGAACACAATTGGGCCTCTGATGACACGTCTGTAGGAGCAGGCTGCAGCCAGGCTCTCCCAACAGCGCGGCCACTCGGCCTGGCACCTACATGCCACAGGACTCCTCGCACAACACTGGGTGACAAGGCCAGGGAAGAGCCAAGCAGAAACTAAACCTCCTGAAGAAGTTTTTTAAAATAAATGTTTAATACAATATCTTCAGGAAGGCACATAATTCACAAATATTTCATGCAGTTTTTAACTATTAATACCGGCTTGGCTTCAGAGTGTGGATTCAGACAGTTTCCTAGACACTACCCAACAAAGACAGCGGTGGCGAGAAGCCCACCATTATCCATAGCAAAGTGTCACCATGATGGGGACAGGACCAGCCCTCATCACAGAGAATTATCTGGCCCAAAATGTCAGGTGCCAAGGTTGGGAAGCCCTGATCTGGAGTAATGGTGCAGACTTTAGCCTTAGCTGGAAGAAGCGGACACCATCTTGCCCGTCTTTGTACACCAGTCTCCTCAGCAGAGCCTGGCACACAGTAGGTGCTCACAGCATCTGCTGAATGAACACCTACTGCCTGCTGGGCGCCTGTTTGTGAAGAACATATTACTTAATACTCCAGCAACCCCTATGAGAGAGGTATTATTATCCCTCAAGTGCAGACAAATGAATTCAGGGTCAAAAAGTTTAAGTAACTTGCCTGGAGCCCCACAGGGAGCAAGTGGCGGAGTAGGACCAGAGCCGTGTCCACCCTACAGCGAATCCAAGGCACATGGCCAAAGCCAGGCCTCCAGCCTACAGCAATTCCTCAGCTTACTTGGAAAGGTGAGCAAACCCAATTACGGCACACAAGAAAATAGCCCACACTGCTGTCATGAAAACAACAAAACTGACAAACTTACAGCTTTCTACTGTCCCCAAATGACTAGCAGTTCAAGAACCATAAAATTAAACCCCAATACTGGAAACATCTCAGAGCAGAATAATTTCTCCTCCTAGAAACCATTTTCTTCCATCCTCCCCACTTCAGATTCCGACACCCCAGGGGTTTCTGTGGAGCCAGGGAGGAAAGCGGCCTTCGCAGCTGCAGACGGACACACAGAGCCGGCCCGGAGCCGAGGAGACCCCTCCGTGGCTCAGAAACGAAGCTTGCCTCCTGCTTCTGCCGTCAAGATTTACGTTCAGGACGTGCCCTCCCTCTGCCGAGCGGCACGGAGAGCACGGGCGAGGCGGCGAGGCTCTGCGGCGAGGGTTAACTGCGCATTCCGGAAGCCGGCGGATTCATCAAGTCGTCGGAAGGGCTTCCAGAAGTTCCATTTGGATTACACTGATACTCCTTGACAGCAGCCACTTCTAAAGGGGAAATTGCACGCTCTCATTACTCTGACAAATAAGAGCCGTTCCAAAGTCGCTTCTCGTTGCTTTGGTTACAGGGAGGGAAAGCAACCCAATTACCCGTGTCACTCGGTGAGGGCAGGCGACTGACCCTATTATCGTAGCAACATTTGGGGCTGGTGCACCCTGGGAGGAAAGACGCCCTTGCTCTGGGCTCAGGTTGCCCGTCAGCAAGCACCGGGACTCCTGCCCAGCAGCTCTCCTGAAATACAGCAGGACAACGAGCCGCCACCAAAGGCCGCACCGTGGTCAGCTAAGGAAGACTCCGAGGGAGAATTGTGTCCATCTCAAAAGAAAATGAAGGAACTGCACGCACTTTGGCCACTGGATTACGGTTTTTAAAAGACACTTTTTTAAAGGTTGAATGAATTATTAACTGTCTCAGAGGAAGGGAAAGGCAATTCCTCCCCACCTCAGAGAGCACAGAATCCCCAGCGCAGAGCTGACGGCGGCCTGAGGGCTGCTCTCCTGGGCCCACCGGGCCAAGCCCTCGAGGGGAATATGGGCCCAGGACAAAGAGTTCTTCACTGACAGAGAAAAACACCCAGCTCGGACTCAAGACAAGACTTCTACATTCGAAGTCCTTTTTCAGGGCACTGTTGTTCACTAAGTCATGAAACAGCATCCTCTCTCAGGGCTACACGCTACACCGACACACAACAAAACCCAGAGCACGTGAGGTCGACTCGTTAGTCCACGTGAGGGCTGTACAGCCACGGTGGCCCCAGATACGGTCCCCTGCTCCTGGTGGCTCGTCCACCCCAAATCAGAACCCCCCACAACATGCCACGGCTGATAGGTAAAACCAGAAAAACACAGGCAATTAGTAAAACCAAAAAAAGATCTTTTCCGAGTCTAAGAATCACCTCTAGAAAGAGCAATTGGTATCTCGTGTGTCTCTATTCCCCCAGGTGTGCAGGGAGAGCAGCCAGTGAGCGTGGTGCGATCACACCCCACACCCTCGTGCTTGTGCATGCCCATGCACGGGGGCGCTCTGCACCTCACCCACACGTGTGACGTGAGCGTGTGTCCGTGGCATGCACACGCGCACACAGCACAGGGGAGTCCTCTTTAACTAAACTTGAACGAAACCTGTTTTTCTGTATTTGGGATGTCCAGAGCTGAGAGGAAACTCTCGGTACGGAAGAGGCTGCTAACTGGCTGGGAGGGGCGGGACGCATTCCTGGGGCACCGCTGGCCTCTGCTGCCGGCGCTGGGCATAGCAGCCGGGAAAGCAGGCTCCCCGAGCGACCTGTGGCTTTAGCAGCACTCTCACAACTTCGCTAACTGCAAGGCTGACGGGTGCTCATTTCTCTGAAGCTTTGAGGACTGTGTTCCACTTGTCCCCCAGCCCTACCCCTGGCCTCAGTGGAACACATGTCCAGACAGTCGGCCAGGGCTGAGCTGAGTGGCTCTGACTGACGCTTGTTGTTGGAGCCACCAGCACAGGTTTCCCAGACTCAGAACGAGCGGCCAAATCTTAGTTCTCCTGAGATCTGAATCATGAACTGAAAGGGCTCCATGATCCACAGCTACCAGGCTGTGGTGAAACGTGAAACACTGCTCAACCTCTACACCTCGCCCCTCTCGGTGGCGGCGATTTAGACCCTAGGCAATAGAGAAGCGCCAATTCTGAAGACTGTGTCTTGCGATGGCAACTGGTGCTCCAAGGGACCGTTATTCTGTAGCCCAGAGAATCAGGATAGAAGGCTCTCTGCTTCTGACCTAGAGGCCGTGACCTGCTGGGGTAGTCATTACCGATGGTGAGCACAGCACAGATGCTCGCGGGGACAGACCCCTCTCCAAAAGGAAAGCTTAAATAAGGGGGGGACTCACTGTGGAACCTCAGTGCCTGCGAAGCATCCCTGTGCTGGTTTCAGAGCATAATCCCGCCCCTCAGCGTTCCATGAGACACTCCCAAAAGAAAAACGCGAGCTGCTCTGAAACAGGAGGTCGTGGAGCAAAGAAGGCCGCGTAGTCGGGAGCAGCTGCTCAGGCCCCCTCGCCCGCCTGGTGGCCTGGTGGAGTCACTTCATCTCCACGTACCTCAGGTTCCTCCTCTTGAAAATGAGGACATAAGAACAATGACCTCCACGGGAGGATGACAAGCACGAAATGACAATGTGCTTCTGAGCCAATGCCTGGCCCACAGTAAGTCCCTCCCCGGTAAAGGACGCCATCACCGCCACCACCTGCCCAAGCTGTCACAGTACCAGGTTTCCTTGGGCCACACACTGTACGCATGACAAAGATAAAACCAAAAGAGCTCCAACCCTAGAAGGCCGTGCCAAAGGCCAGGAGGTGGAGCCCCTGGCCGGGTTATCAGCGACATCGCTGGCCACGAGAGTCACTTATTCCCATGTCAGAGGCACAAGGTGATTTCATAGCTGTGCTGGAGCAACAGTAAGGGCTCACCCAGTCACACACACGATTTACAACATGCAATCTTTTCTCTCTGACACGGCTGGCCAGAGAGACCTTTAGAGGTATTTGCATAAGCTGTTTGACAACCTTAATGTCAGACACATTTTTAGTTCCCATGACATGCATTTTACCGAGGCTTTATTTAATCTTCCTGACCTCTGGGGGCATGACCTCCCTCTCCTGCCCATGTGAAGTAAGGGCAACAGTCAGGATCGATCCACGCCAAGACACACACACTCCCGACGGTGGTGACGGCCAAATCCAGAGAAGCAGCATGTCCACAGCCAGCCTGAGGCGGTGGCGCCGACTGTGACCAGAGCAGTCCCCAGCAGAAAAGGTGCACCTCGGCATGCTTACCCAGAGTAACTCTCAAAGGATGGCCGCTGTCGCCGCCACCATTATTCATCGTACAAACCGCCACACCACTAGGCTTCTTGGGCCTCGCTGTGTATACTCAAGAAGATAAAATCAAAACAGCCTGGATCCTTCCTCCCAATCACCTCTGCCTATCATCTGCAGACCCACTGTGTCCAGATGTGGTCCCTTTTGGACCCTCCCCACTCAGGTTCAGCTAGGCATGGGAATGCCCGTGACATCCCTGGCTCTTAGAGTACAATCCCAACATCCCTACAGCGGCCCTGCAGGACCCAGCCAAGGAGGCAGTGCCCAGCCACCTTGCCAATCCCACCTGCTGCCGCGCCAGCCCTGGGCTCTCCTCCCATCCCTGACACCTGCCGGCTCTCCCTTCTCTGCATGGAGCACCCTCATTCCTGCCTGTCACAGGGCCAGGTTCTTCTCATCCTACAGGTCTCAGCTCAAACGGCAGCTTTGCAGAGAAGCCTTCTTCGTTGCCTACCTACAGCAGGCCTCAGCATTCTCCCATTGATCTCCTTCTAAGAACTTACCACAACAAGAATTACTTTATTGCCTGCTCAGTATGCCGTCCTAACAGACTGCAAGTTCTGGAGCACCGTCAACACCCTGGTGGCCAGCAGTGGCCAGCGGAGAGCAGGCGCCGAACACACGCTTGTGGAATGGGTACAGCTGCACGCTTGTCTGCAGCGCAGCCAGCTGCAGCGCTCCCTGCGCGAAAACACATCACTCAACCAGCGCCGGTCCACCGGCTCGGTCTGGAGACAGAGGAAAGAGATGCGAGTCCAGGGTCTGCCACCGTCTGCTTGGGCAAGTCACTTTACTAAATCTCAATTTCCCCATCAGAAAGAAAGGAAGAGAAGGAAGGGAGAAGGGAAGGGAGGAGGGAAAGGAGGGCAGAGGGGAAGGAAAGAGAAAAGAAGAGAAGAGAAGGAGAAAAGACAAGAAAAGAGTAAAAAGGAAAGAGAAAGAAAACTAAAAGGAAAGAGGGAAGTGGAGGAGGAGGTGGCAGCAGCGGCAAATGAGATCAATAATTTCCTAACTTTGTCCCAAGAACCCCAAGGTCCCTTGAAGGTGATGAGACGCCCATGTCCCTTCTTCAACAGAGCGGCACACGCCCATCTCTTTAGGACATTTGGCTTCCACATAAGACTTTGGAAACAAAGCACCTGCCACTAAGACACGCTTGACGTTCTTGTGGGTCGGAGACGCTCTGGTCCTCTCTGGACAAGGCCCCGTTCTCTGGGCTGCACACCCAGGACCCCACACACCTGCTCCACCACGGAGCAGCCCCTGCCGCCATCACCGGGGCCTACCTCATTGAACACAATCCTGGACGCCAGCCTCGAGAGCTGCTCAGTCGGCTTCACTGTGGTTTTCCACGTCCTCCCGAAGAAGTGTCGGTAGGTGACATCAAAGAAAGACACCCGCAGATGGCATTCAACCTCCGACAGCACTGCCAGCACACCCTAGGCGACAGCAGGGCGTGAGAGTCAGGGAGTCAGCCCTAAAGAGTTCTGTGTCACGAGCCATGCCACGGCTGCTGATGGACCGCTTGGTAGGCACGGGGCCACCAAGCACCCGCCCGACTTGTTCAGGCATCAGCAGCCCAATTTCCTCGCGGGGAGCTACCTCTTTCCCACCCACAGCCACTGGTCTTGGTGGGGTGACAAACCAAGCACTTGGCCCTCCCTGGCCAATTAGAGCACTGAAGTCCCCTAGAACAGACACAGGCTTAAGACTCACCCACAGCCTACAAGACACAGGAGGCCAGCGCTGTGGATACAGATGTGCCTGCCAGGATGCAAGGCCTGGAGCTGCCACTCTGTCACCAAGTGGAGCCAAGAGGTTAAGAAAGGACAAGTCCAGGTGGTGACATCACGTGAGACTCTGGATCAAACCACACCTATAGCTCATGCTAACTGTGGATTTGTCCGTTACGTGAGTTAACAAGTCACCGCCAGCTTAAGCCATCCTGGATGTGTTTTTCGTCATTTGCAACCAAATGAGTCCTTCCCAATAGAACCAGAAACTCTAAATCCTCAAATTGCCAGAATTATTTTGGGGTAGTGTTAGCAAAGAAAAAGCAGATCTTTGAGGACTGAGAAATCATGGCAACAAATACAGAACAAAGCAACCAGAGACAATACAGAGTCTTTCCCCATAGCTTTACTACTCACAGTAAGTTTCTGTTTCAGCCTTCGGTTCTTGTTACCGGTTACGACTAGCAATGCCACAGTTCTTACCTGGGACAAAGAGTGCTCTGCCTCTCCTTCACTCACTCACTTAGCAAACACTAATTAAACATCTGTCCTGGGTATCGACTCCGTGCCAGGCACTAGGGATACACCAGGGAACAAAAGAGATGAAATCTCTGCCCTTACAGGGCTTGCATGAGAAAAACAGGGAAGGGAGAGACCGGTGGGCCAGGACAGACCATCCCCCAGCGTTAGCTAATTCACAGGGATGGCTCATGGCATACGTGCTGGACCCTCTTTGGCATGTAAACCAACCAATCCAGAGCGCGCAGCCCCACCTGCCCCTGCTATCCGGCTCTTCCGTTCCAGGAAGCAGCATCCTCGGCCGCAGTCATCCCAGGGTCAAGAACCAGGCACCTAGGGGCAGTCTCTTCAGCCCAGGGGCCACTGAAATTACTCGCACTAGTCAATCCCAAGCCCGCCCACCTGCTCCCCTGCCTTGCCCACTCCCTCCTGCAAAACCACAACGAAGGCCCTGCCAGGCTTCCTCTCGCTCCCTTTGCCTCCTACACAAGCCCAGTGCTTCCCCGTGGGGCCCTGCGTGGTGTGGCCTGCCCCTTCCTCCCGGGAACCCTGAGTAACACACCCTCTTTTCAATGGCAGTTGTCTCCTGAGCTGCTGGCCTCACCACGCCTGAACAGAAACCAATCCCAGCAACATTCCGTACAAGCAGAAAGCCCACCCGACTGCAGCAGGCCGAGTGCAGGAAGATGGGAGGGATGAGAGGCACAGCAGCCGCTCCTGCAGGTCCCCCGGCACGGGGACAAGCTGGGCTCTCACTCCCAGTTCAATGGGAGGCCAGGGAGAGACTGTAAGTAAGCAGAAACCACACCAGCTGATTCAGGATTCTAAGAAAATGCCCACAGCTGCCACGTGGAGACAAGACTGCAGGGGCAGGAATGGAAGCAGGGGCCACTGCCACCATCCAGGCAAGAGAGGATGGGGCATTGCAGGGTGACAAGCAGCAGGCACACCTGGGCTCTGCTTTGAAGGAAGGGCTGCGACAATCTGAGGAGAGGGAAAGGATGGGGGATAAGCTGTCGCGTTTGCCTGGCCCTTCCAGGCTAGTTCTGAGTCCCACGTCTCCAGTGAAGCTACAGGGACAGAGGCGGTGTTATCCATGGGGACAGGGAGGGTGCAGCAGGGCAGGTCTGGGGGTCGAGCCCCAGTTCACTGTGGTCATCACTCGCTCCACATGAGAGACCTCCGTCTACACACAGCCCCTCCCCTCGTCCTGCCCCTCCACGCCGCCGGCCTGCCACCTCCCCAGGGGTCCTCGCACGTCCTGGCTCAGTCCCCAGCTCCAGTGCCCCTGATGAAGGGGGCCTTCCCGCCCACTGCCATCCAGACCCACCCCCGACCCACTTCACACTTCCCCAGAGCTATCATCCAGCTCTTACATGTTGACTGCCGCCCCCAACTAGAACGAGAGCTCTGTGAGGACACGAGCCTAGAATGTTCTGTTCCCTGCTCTATCCTTCAGGCCTAGGCGAGGCCTTGCACATGCAGGTCCTCAGGACTTGCACATCCTCACTGCTGGGACTGCCCAGGCTCCACTATCAGCCTCTTCCTCTTCCTCCTCCTCCTCCTCCCTGACATCCTCTCAGAAGTTAACCATAGCCAAGACCCCCCCCAGCTCCCAAATCTCTATTGCTGGCTGAGACTTCTTCCCAGAAGGCCTGACCCTAACCACTGCCCCCCTCTGCGCTACTTGCTAACCCATTCTATTCAAGTAAGTTTCAGCTGAGAGCTCTGTGAAAACAGGGCAGAGCCGTCCTTGTGTCCCTGTAACAAATACGCAAAAAATATCAAATTGAATTAAAACAGCATCTCAAAATAAAGAAATACAATCAATGTTCATGATAAAATTAAACCAAACAAAAAAACTAAATAGAATAGTAAGAGAGACATACTAAAATAATTACTAAAGTACCCTGAGTTCAAAATAAGCATGTGATTAGTCTAAGCCCAACGCCTTTCACAGGGAGGTTTGCTATCATCTAAGGCTATCAGTGCTGAAGAAAAACTAAAACTGTACAGACTCATAAGACTATCCAAATCAAACTTTATTTTTAATCAACTATTTCCAACTTCATCTTCTTTTCTTTTCTTTCCTTTTATTCTTCTCCCAAGAAGTTTTGCGTAAAGAGATGGAGGGAAAGGGGGTGGTCACTGAAGGGGAACGTCAAGGGTCCAGGGGATTGCTTTTTTTTTTTTTCTCCTGAGACAGAGTCTCCCTCTGTCCCCTGGGCTGGAGTGCAGTGGCTTCACCATAGCGCAGTGCAGGCTCCAACTCCTGGGCTCAAGCGACCCTCCTGCCTCAGCCTCCCAAGCAGCTGAGGCTACAGGGCACACCACCACGCCCGGCTTACTTTTCTATTTTCAGTAGAGACGGAGTCTCACTCCTGCCCAGGCTGCTCTCGAACTCTTGACCTCAAGTGATCCTTCTGCCTCAGCCTCCCAGAGTGCTAGGATTACAGGCCTGAGCCACCATGCCTGGCCTATCTTCTTGTAAATGCTTTATTTTGATTGATTTTTGTACGTAAAACCAACTCTGCGTTCCTGCAATAAACCCCACTTGACCTTCATATACTACTCTTTGTACATATTGCTGGATTTTATGTCCTACTATTTTAAGGATTTTTATGTCAATCTGTACTTTTCTTATAGTGTCCTTGACTGGACTGGGTATCAGAGTTATGGTGGCCTCAAAACAAAGAGTTGGGAAGCATCCCTTCTCTATTTTCTGAAAGAGTTTGTCTAGAATTAGTATCATTTCTGCCTTTAATATTTGATAAAAGTCAACATTCTATTATTAATGTCTGTAGGATATATAGTGATACTTCTTCATTTTTCTAATATTGGAAATCCACGTTTCCTCTTTTCTTTTCTCTTTGTCTTGCTACGGATTTATCAATATTATTAATCTTTTCAAAAAACCAACTTCTAGCTCAAGGATTTTCTCTATTATTTGTCCTTCACTTCACTGATTTCTGCTCATATACAGTCATGAGCCACATGATGTTTTAGTCAACAACAGACCACATGTATGACGGTGGTCCCATGAGATTATAATACCGTATTTTTAGTGTACCTTTTCTATATTTATATATTCAAGTACTTATCATTGTGTTAAAACTGCCTACAATATTGAGCACAGTAACATGCTGTACAGGTTGTAGCCTAGGAACAATAGGCTACACCATATAGCCTAGCTGTACAGACCACCTAGGTTTGTGTAGGTATGCTGAGTGAAGATTGCACAATGATAAAATCACCTAACAACACATTTCTCAGAATGTAGCCCATCTTAAGTGACACATGACTGTATTTACCACTTCCTTTCTTCTACTTACTTTGTATTTAACACATTAACTGCCATGAGAGTTGTACTTAACTCACTCTAGGTTTGACCCCAGGGCTGTGTGAAGCATATATAAAATCTTACTTCTTGATGTTCTTTTTGCTACAATTAAAATTGATAATTCTAAAAATGGGGATTAAATAAATAGAAGTCAATAAATTTCAGTTTTCTATTTATGTTTATCTTTAAATTACACTTAAAGTTTTTATTCTATTTTTGTAATAAACACTGTGGCCCCAAGGAAAAGTTTATGTTTTTTTGGTGTGGCAGTCCATGTGTTAATTTGCTCTTTTTATCTAGATTGTTAAGGAGGAAGCAGAAGTCACTGATTTTCTACCCTTCTTTCTAATATAGTCATATAAAGATACAAATTTCCCTCAAAGGACTGCATTAGCTACATCCCACAAATTTTTATATTTTCTTCCAGTACTCACTTCAAGTTATTTTCTAATTTCCCTATTAATTCTTCTTTGACCCATGGGTTATTTACCACTGTGTTAATTTCCTACTATTTTCTAAGTCTCTTATTGTTATTTGTTTCTAATTTAATACCACAGTAGTCAGTAAACATACTCTTTTTAACTTGGATCCTATTAAATTTATTGGGACATTGCTGTAGCCCTGCATATGGTCTATCTTGGTGAATATTCCAGGTGTATTTGAGAAGACTGAGTGGTCCATTTTGTTGGGAGTAGTGCTGAAGAGATGTCAAGGTAGCTAAGGATGGTGTTCAGATCTTTCAAATCCTTATGAGTTTGTTGGTCTATTTGTTCTATCAATTATTAAGTCAGGACAGTTAAAATTCTCCAACTATGACTGTGAATCTGAATATAGCTTCCTTTAGTTTTTGCCCAATTTTGTTCCATATATTTAGAAGCCTTGTCATTGGGTGCCATACACAAGAGTCATCACAACAGGCCTGTTATGCTCTGACAGGCCAGCGTACGTGCTGGCCCTTGGCTGGAGCCTGGAAACTTAGATCTTGAGAGGGTTCCTACCACGTAACTGGTGAGAGTGGCGCCCTGAGCCTAAACTGTTCACATGCTTGGTTTATGCTGAACACCTGTTTCCCTTCTAGGAGTCTGGAATGTTGGAACACAACATTTGGTACGTGACATTTCGCATGTGTTGTTACGATTCATTGCTGGGGGACGCATAAATGCATCCTGTGTGACTCCTCTGGGAGAGGAGCTCGTGCCCACTTCCCTTCGAGGTCCCCCCACGTGCCTACTCCCTTTGCGGATCCTGCTCTGCGTCCTTCTGCTGTGATACATCTTAGCTTGAGTGTAAGATGTGCTGAGTCACGTGAGTCCTCTGAGAGAATCTTCAGACCTGGGGGGTGGTCTTGGCAGCCCCAACACAGGTGCACACGCACCTAGGGATCGTCCTGTTTTCTTGATGATCATTATCTCTGTGCAATGCCCCTTTGTCTCTGGTAACTCTTCACTTTGAAAAGCACTTTGTCTGACACTCGTATAGTCACAAAGTTCTCTCATGCTTCGTATTTACATGGCGTATCACTTTCCATCTTTTTACTTTCAACTTGTTTATGTCTTTATGTTTAAAGTGTACTTTTTTCTAAACAACATATAACTGGGTCTTAAATGACAACTTTTAACATGACTTTGGATCAGGAATTCCACTTGTAGGAATTATTCTACAGACATATATGTACATGAAAAAAAGATATAAATTAGGTTATTCATTGTAGCAGTGTCTGCAGTAGCAAATGACTGGAAAAAGTCTAATTGTCCATCAATAAGGGCCTAACTAAATAAATGATGGTTCATCCATATAAAGAAAGACTATGTAGTCTTAAGAAAGAATAAGAAAATTCTCATGTAATAACATGAACAATCTATAAGACATATTGTTACGTATTTTTTAACAAAGCGAAATACAAAACAGAGTATAGTTAAGTACCATTTATGTTTAAAAAGGAAAAATATATTCAGGTATATTTATATATTGTATTTGCTTAGAATTTCTGGAAAGTTATATAAAAACAGGTAACACTGGGTGCCTTGGAGACACTTGGATACACTTTCTCTGTGTATTCTTGTCAACTTTGAACTATGTGATTATCTTTTCAAAAATTAAATAAATAAATGAAATGGGGTAATAAATAAAATTTCCTATGTAAAATTAGGAAAGAGGAAAGTCCCAAGCCATCAACTACCTTAGGAGCTCCTAGAAGGCAGTGGCAGCTGGGCCAGGCTAGGTAGTGGCCACCTAGAGCTGCGTCGCCTGGGCAGCTGACTTTGCTCCTCTCAGGTGCAACACGGATAAGATGACACCTAGGGCATAGGGCTCTTGTGAGGACCAAGTGAATTAATGTAAGTTAGGAAGTTGTAAAAGTAGTTGCCACCCAGACCTCAAGACGGTGGCAAAGATGTAGCTGGTGCTCAGTCAGAGGGTTTGGAATTGGACGATGCAGGACACAAGTGATTTAATCGTAGTGCATTATTCCTAGACCAAGCACTCCAACAACTTTGAATGCATGCAAGTATCATTCCACCAGCTGCAGAGGAAAACCGTCTTGCCAAGCCAGATCCTATAAGAAGCTACATGTTTACACTGGCAGGACCAGATCCTTCTTGTGCATCCCCACAGGCCACCGGGCCTTATGGGGACAATTCAATCACACGGGCACTCTGCAGGCAGCAGCACGGAACCACAAGCTCATCCAGCACTTCCTGCCAGCTGAAGGGGACAGATGGATGTGGGGCCATGAGGGCAGTGGCCTGAGTGTGCAAAGGCAGTGGCACATGCAGCCACACACAGAGCCACCAGGATGCCCAGAGTTCACGCCTGCAGTCCTCACTGCCAGGCTGAAAGCAGGCCACGTGGAGCCAGGCACAAGGCCACGTGGCTCACCTGGTTTCAAAACACCAGTTCTTTAAGTGCGGTCCCCAAGCCCCTGAGGTTCAGAGAGATCCTGTCAGGGGTTCCACAAGGGCAAATACCCAGTTGTTATTTGTCTTTTTCGCCGTGTTGACATCTGCACCGAGAGAAAGGAGGCCACTTGGATTTTTAAATTGCTCCACTGTAGGCAGAAAGAAACCCTTACCCAGTATCAAAAGTGCTGACCAAGTCCCTGAACCACATATTCTCTTTGCTGATGGGCCACTTTGCCTCTGAATACTGCCAAGGCCCAAGGTAATGGGTACGGTGATAGGACGCAAGTAAATAAGTGAAAATCAATACAGACGCTCGACTCACGATGGGGTTCTGTTCCGACAACCTCATCATAGGTTGAAAATACTCTAAGTGAAAAATGCACTTCATACACCTAACCTACTGAACATCGTTGCTTAGCCTAGCCTACCTTAAATGCACTCGAACACTCACATTAGCCTACAGTGGGCAAAACCACCTAGGACAAAGCCTATTTTATAATAAAGTGTTAAATAGCCCATGTAATTTATTAAATACTGTACAGAAAGTAAAAACCAGAATGGTTGGATGGGTACAACCACACAGTCATAAGTTCAACAGTAGTAAGCTGGGGACCCATATTAACTGGAAACCTCATCTCAGGTGAAAGCAGTAACGATGTGCTTTTGCTAATAGACAGCAAATTGCATTACCTGCTTAATTATTGGCCCGTCAAGCCACTTCAGGACACACTGAAATGCTGAGGATTCCTTCAACAGCTGGCGTGCTCTCTGTGGGTGGGGAGGGACAAGCACGTTTTGGGCAAAGATCCTGTGCCAGTCATTCATGCTGCCCGTCTGAGGATCACGTGGGCCTCCAGGATTCCCTGTGCCATTCATGTTAAAATGAAGAAAAAAGTTATGAGGGCCACGGTGATCAGAGCAATTCTGAAAGTTTCCCGCCTCCCACCGAATCCCAGAGGACTCTCCATCCCTGAAACCACGCTCTGCAATCCCACCCTGAAGCCCCAGTGCAGCAGACTGCGTTGCTGGCAGGCACCTGCTGCCTTCCCCTTGCTCCAGACAAGCCTCCGCCTCCTCCATGGGCCAGCCAGAGCATGACTACCCGGCCTCAGTGACTGATTTAGGACGGGCACATACAGGGTTGCTCTCTCCAGCTGTGGCGGGCGAGCGCTGCACCAGAGGTGAGTGGCAGCTGAAATCCAGCCCTGGTGTGGTGCTGTTGTGCAGGGGGCCCAGGGAGCACGACAGCAGGAATACGACTCTTAGAACAGTGAGGTCATCAGCCTGAAACTGCCAGGGGCTACCTCAAGAGCAGCTACCTTGAGATACATAAAAGCAGGCAGAGAGGAAATGTCGCCATTAGAGCCCTGGCTCAAGGGTACCCTAACGCCAGTCACCCCAGGACACCTCAGATACGTGGAAAAAGTCTTTTGTTGCTAAGCCGTCTGGGGGTGAGTTTCAAGTGCTACCCAGCTTTAGTGACCCAGCCTATCACAAGTATCATCCGTCCCCTTCCAGCCAAACAGGGATCTGAACCTTCTCTACACATCTTTTCAGCTGACACAGAATTCTGAGACCTTGGCATCGAGAAGAGGCCGCATTCTGTGCGCTGAGATGGTAAGCAAGCAGGAAAGGCGGCAGGTCTGCTCTTTTAAGACAGCAGATCTCCAAGTGTGGTTCCCAAGCCCCAGAGGTTCAGAGAGAACCCGTGAGGGCCTCCACGAGGTCAAAACTATTTTCATAATACCCAGATGTTACTTGTCTGTTTCACCATGATGACCTACACCGACACAGCACAGGCAACAGTGGGTGAAGCTCCTGGGGCCTCGGCACGCCCAAGGCAGCAAACTGGACGGGGTGGCACACTCTCCACTAGCAGGAAAAGCACACGGCTTCACTTAGGAACGTCCTCGGTGAAACCAGGGAAACTATGAATTTCATTACTTCTGGACGTTTTTAACATCCTGTGTGACAAAATGGGAAATACACGAAAGCATTTCTGCTGAGAACTGACGGGCAATGGCCATCCTGGGGAAGCCCCGCGGTGCCTGTTTGGCTGCGAGCTGAACATACAGCTTTTTTCACTCACCGGCACCATTTTTACTACAAAGGATGACTGATAGACAAGCTATGGTTATTCTGACTTGGGTACTTGGCAGACACTTTCACAAACAGGAATGGAGTAAGCATGTCACTTCAAGGAAAACTGTGATAAAAATGGAGGTTTCAAGCAAAAATTAGAACTGAGAACGTTTGTATCCTTCACCACGAGCCTGACAGCTTCAAGACTTCCCTGACGAGATGGGCGGTAACAGAACGAATGTGCTCTCCTGAGACTGCTGATTACACATGTCAATATTTGGAAGGTCTGCAGGACTCGGTGAACCAGTATTTTCCAAATGAACAATGCATAATGATACAAAATCCTGCAAGAATAAAAGATCCATCCGAAGTACAAGACAGACCAAAGGATTTAATGGCACAGAGTATGAAAAGTTCAGTGATATAAGACTCCACTTTGGAACAAATCTTTAAGAAACTACTGCTCACGGAGTTTAGGTGTACCATCAAATATCCACAATTATCTAAAAGACTCTTCCCCTACCTGGGTGTGGATGGATTTCCTGCAAATACCTCAAAGTAACACCACAACAGATTGAACACGGGACAGCAGACAGGAGAATCTAGCGGTCTTCTGTTACACCAGACATTAAAGATAAATGCAAAACTGCAGAACAAGCCCTCTTCTACTTTTTTTGTTTTGGAAAATATAGTTGGTTTTCATTAAAAAATGCTTTTTATGCTACCATGTAATAGATTTATTGTTACTTTTAAATAAATATTTTTAACATTTCTTAGTTTTAATTTCTATACTGTAAACATTGATAGATATAACTTATATAAACAAAAGTTCTTTGGGGTCCTCAATTTTTTAAAGGGTAAAAGGGTCTAAGATCAAAAAATTTGAGCAGGACTATTCTAATGGGTCACCATCTCCATGCTCACAGCTATGTATAGGAATGAAGAGGACACAACCAGCCAGCCTGGGATGTTCCCCCATTCCCGCCAGGCTGTGGCTCAGGGTCCTGCCCTCACCTGGAATGCACCCACTGTGGGTGGTCCAGGAACACCCTTAGAGGTCCAGAGGCAGCCTGTTACTGTGTGAATATAGCAGGCACACACATTGGTTTGTGTTTTTGTGAGTTATTTTTGTCTGCTCAATATCCCTTGCTTTGTGGAAGGATCCAACCCAATGTCATGATAAGGGCTGTTCCCCAGTTCAGGCCAGAGGCCTGCAGTGATTGGTTCAAAGAACACGTGACCCATATTGAGCCATTAAAGTCTTCCCTGAGAGACCTGAGCCCAGGCTGTCTCTCCTCCAATGCCCAGAACTGCCCAGACCAAGCCAGCCCAGAGCCCTCGGCCACCACAGGGAAGAGCCTGAGGCAGAGGCAAGCCCAGGGGAAGCTGATTTCTGACTTCTGCCCTCCAGAACTGGAAAAGAACGAATTTGTGTTATTTTAAGTCATTGAGTTTATGGAACTTTGTTACAGAAGTCACAGGAAACCCATACAGTTGTCCGTGACCCATAAGCAGAAGAGCCCTAACCAATACCAGCTCAAGGGCCACCTCCTCTAGGAAGGCTTTCCAGATGTTCCTGGGGTCCAGCCCCCAGGCTCAGCGCCTGTGCTTCCCTTGGCCACAGCATTTGTCACCTGCCTGTGTTGATCTGCTCACTGGCTAACTCCTTGAAGGAAGCCTTATCCCTCCTGTGTCATTGGTACCCAGCTCACCATCAGAACTCAATAAATATTCATAAAATCAAATCAAAGCTTTAGTGAAGTTGACACTCAAGCTTTTTTTCTCAGAGAAATGTTTTCCTGTTGACTTTCACTATAAACTTTGGCAGTGTATTCATACAGAATGCACATCATGATGAACCCAGATGGGTGTTTCCAGAAAGGAAGGGCTCTCCTGATGTGGATGCCCTCTGGAAGGTGTCCCATCTGCCTGTTCTCCTTACTTGCCTGACTCCTGACCCTGTGCCTCCTTCTCTCCTCCCTGGGTGTCTGCAGGACTCAGTGCCACACATGCCCAGGAGACGCTGCTGAAGAATCCACAGTGCCAGGCCACCCTCAAGGGACAGTACATTAACCCCAAATGACCCTACTGCGCCAGCAAGGCACAGGTCAGGCAGAAAGCCATCCACTCTGAAAGGACCTGCCACCCACAGGCAAATACTGATGCTCAGGAGGTGGAGGAGAGGGACGGCAACTTTCTCAAGGCGGCACAGAGGGCTAGGTGACATCTGAGACACCTGGGGGAGGGAGCCCAGGCAGCCACAGGGCTCTCACTTCACTCCCCCCACCTCATAAACAGATCCAGGTGTCCTCCCACCTGGCCCTCACTCCTCTCCACCTCCACTCTCACCCTTTAGGAGCCACCTCCTGAGAGCAAGCCCCGTCCCCACCCTCCAGCTACACACAGCAGCACCAGTGACATTAGAGTCATCATCCTTCCCAAGGGCTATGCTCTTACTGTTGTCCTGTAAGACTATGAGCTCCCTGAGATCAGGACTGGGTCCTCAGTGAAAATCTTTTAATGATTAAAAGGAATGCCATGGAGGAAGGGCAGTAGGGCCTTTGGGGCCAAATAAACAATAGGAAGAGAAAACTGGGAGGGTTCCAACCTTGGAACACTAGAAAAGGGTACAATGGGCTCACCAGGATAAAAAAAAAAAGAAGAAAATGCACCAGCTTTTACGGAGCCCCAGATACAGAATTCCAAATACGGATTATAAGGAAGCTCAATGAAATCCAAGAGAATGGAAAACCCATCAAAGAAATTAGAAAAACAATTTGGGAAATGAATGAAAAATTCACTGAAGAGCCAAATAGAACTCCTGGAAATGAAAAATTCATTTAGGGAAACACAAAACACAGTGGAAAATTTTAGGAATAGAGTAGGCCAGGCATAAGAAAGAATCTCAGAGCTTGAAGACAACTCTTTAAATGAACTCGGTCAATAACACAGAGTATTATTCCAACTACTCTGTAAAGCAGTGTCATCATCATCCCCATCTTATAAATGAAGAAACTGAGACTCAGAGAGCCAGTGATAAATCTAAAACCACTATAATCACCCCCACCCACCCCATCACGGAAGCCAGGAGAGCCCAGGGAGAAGAAAGGCCCCAGGGGGCACCAAGAGAACTGGCAGACAGGGACTGCCTGAGCTAATCCTCTCTCCCCCTGCTCTCCAACTTCAGCAAAGACTCACCCTCCCTGCCTGTTTCCAATCTACAAAATGAGGTCTCTGAAGTCTCCTTGAGATCTTTCTTTCTGCAGATCTATGCGACAAATGTTTACCAAGCACCTACTGTGTTCCAGAACATACGAAGACTGTCATTTGTCTTGTCTTCAAGAATCCAGAAATCCAAAGGGGGAGAAGGCAAGACGGTGAGTGTGAGCAGCACAGGAACATGCACCCAACCTGGCCAGGGATGGCGGCGTGGGCCAGGGAGGCTGAAGAGGTGAACCCTGACCCTCCTGAGTGTCTGAGGAGACTCCCTCGCACGGAGGTGAGGATTAAGTCCCACAAATAGGGGTTCCCAGGGAAAAGGGGCAGGGGGTGGGGAAGCCCTGTGAGGCGCAGGGAAGCCTCCTTTCCAGAAGTGAAGGAGGTGTGGAATGCCTGAGACCCAGATGCCTTGGGGAGCCTTTGGAGAAGCAGAGGTTTGATTAAGCACTGCCTGGAAGTCCCTCACTCAAGGAGCATTCTTCCAGCACCTGCCCTGTGCTAGGCCCAGGAGAATGGGTCCTGAACACAGAAGACAAGCT